CAGGGTAAAGTCGTATTCCCTAATCAAAAATAATTCCTAAGTCCTCTAACTAAAGTAGATAGGGAAGTAGGGTCGATCTCCACAAGGAAACAAGTCTTTCTATTCCTAATTAACTAAAATAATCTAGATTATGAAGTAACCAATATTTATATTTGACTAAGAAACTAAACTACGAAGATTGAGAATAGGGAGAAAACAATATATAAAAGGATATAGGGCATATGTTCACCAATAAATAATACTCCAGGGTAATCAATCATTGACATTGCATAAATAACATGATTAACAGGCTCTCACAATCTATTAATCAACATAGATCTAACAGGCTCTCGCAATTTACTAGATCTAAGTTCCTATTGAAAATAGCCTTTAATATCAAATTAACATCTGCTCGATTCATCAATTCAATATTGCTATACTTTTACAAGCCATAATTGTAAAGCGTTAAAACAATTCAATAGGAAATTATCATGCAATATCAAAAATCAATAATAGTCAATCATCAATGCATCAATTAACCAGATCGTAAAGGGCTTTCGCTACGTATTACAAACACAGAATTAATCTAAGAGAACAATTAAGAGAGTAAAGAAAGAGTAAAAGAAGAGAGAGAGTGAAAAATCGTATTACGGAGGAGTATTTATACTCCGTACAAATCCTAAATTAAAACAAACTAAAACGACGCTAATCGTCTCCTAATAAATACACGCGCCCGATCGGGCGCGCCTTTTTGCTCATCAATACTAATCTTGCGCCCGATCGGGCGCGTCACCATGCGCCAGCCTTAGCTACTCCAGCTCAGTCGGGCGCGCCTTCGGGCGCCAGCCTCTTTGGCCGGGCGACTCACTTGGGCCACTATTTGGACTATGATTGGGCTCCAATTCTTCGGGCCAATTTGGGTTTCCTCTTCCGGTCTTGAATACTCGGTCCAAATGTCCCGGTATCACCTATACCGAGCCCTTAATCACCGGTTCGATGGCTCTAACCGGCCCTGGGCTATAAAATTTGGTCGTGCTTCTCCAATGTTCGTGATTGCTCCAAAATATCTCGGGAAAATAATCCACAAGCATAAATCCCTACAAAAGTCAACCAAATCTACGAAAACACTAGAAAACACCAATTATTAATAAAAGTGGCTCTAAAGAGCCAAAAACACTACTAATTACGACCAAGGGACGGGGGTAAAATACTATATAAAATAGACACATCATCTCTATGCGTGCTCCGTCAATCTCTCATCTTTTTTTTTGCAGATGATGCTCTTTTCTTTTTTAAAGCTAACGAGGAGTCTTGCTCTACTTTTGCGGGAATCATAGCCAATTTTGGGCAGGATTCTGGGCAACAAATTAATTTTAGTAAGTCCTTTGTTAAAATTAGTCCTTCTGTTCCTCCTGCTTTGGCTGATTCCTTTAAAAGCATTTTAAGAATTCCAATGGTCACTACTTTTGGTAATCACCTGGGAGCCCCTGTGGATTTAGAGGGGCGAAAGGCTCCTTTCTTTGCAAACTTGGTTGAATTGGTAAAGAAATTTTTTTTGTCTTGGGCACATTGCCGGTTTTCTAAAAATACCAAATTAATCCTCATAAATTCCGTCATTTTGGGGATCACAGCCCATGTTATGAAATCTTACAAGATTCCCCTAGCAACTGCAAATAAGCTAGATTCTTTGATCACTAGGTTATGGTGGGCAAAGAGTGGTGATAAGGGTATTCATTGGGTTAAAAAGAAAATCATTCAATTGCCAAAAGGAATGGGCGGCCTGAGTATTCGATCTATTGCCATCTATAATGATGCTCTTCTCTTCAAGCAAATCCTTAGGATGCACTCTAACCATTCACTTCTGGCAGCAAAAGTTTATAATGCTCGCTCTAGCTGTGTTCTCTGTCCAAAGACTATTCTGGGGACTATCCTAGCCTCCTTTTCCTGGGCTAGGAGATCTATGCATCACTTATCTTTAAAGATGAAAACAGGTTTTGCTTGGAAAGTCGGTTCTGGGGATGCTATTCTTGCCTCAAGCTCTAAGTGGGTTCATAATTCTGTTCCGGTGGTTAACTCTAACCAAAATTTGAGAGATAGCTCAAAGTGGAGAGTCAGCGAATTTATCAATCATCGATCTCGCTCCTGGAAAGTTGGTCTAATTAGACAAAGGTTTGAGTGGGAAAGTGCCAGGAACATTCTGTCAATCGAACTACCGCATGGGGAGGAAGAGGACTTTCTCTATTGGCCCTGGCATGCCTCTGCTTACGCGGTTAAATCTGGTTATGCTTTCCTAGAGGGTTTAACTGAAATCAAGGAACCTGGTCATAGAAAAGCAATCTTTAATTTTTATAAAATAATCTGGCGTTTGGATATTCCCCCAAAATGGAGCCTCTTCCTTTGGAAACTGCTCAGCAACGGAATTTCTGTTCGAAAGAATCTTGCAATTCGAGGAATACTCCAGCACGGAGTATGTGACTACTGTGATTCGGAAGAGGAAGATATTGTACATCTTTTTCATACTTGCTCTATAGCAAGGTATGTTTGGACTAATTGCCAAATACCAGGCTATCAAAATCTACTTGGATCTACTTCTGTCAAGGATTGGATCCAAAGCAATATCCTGATCTTCTATAGTCAGGATGGTTATCAAAGTTAGCGTATCCAACACTTTGTGGCAAATCTTTGGGCGTTATGGGCGACAAGAAACAAGCGTATCTTTGAGGGAGACAATGGATATCTCCGCTCTTTCTTCGTTAATCTTAATTTAGCTCTTACCCTTGTCCAAGATTTTATGTCCACTGTCTCTAGGAACTTGCAGAGTGCGTCGAATGTTGATCAAAATGTGTATTCTCCTTCGGGATTTTTACACATAAATCTAGGTATATATGACTCCCTTCCTCCTTTGCTATGAAACCTCATCTTAACCCTTTACTATTAGAGTAGATGGTTCCTGGCAAAACTCGACAAAGTTATATGGTACAGGTTGGACTATTACTCTTTCAGATGAGAGAGAGAGATGCGAGGGGATCTTCTGGAATTGCTTCCTCGGCTCTTCAAGTTGAGGGTTTGGCTTGTTTGTCAGCTATGGGCTGGCCGGGCAAGAGATAATGGATATACATCCATTAAAATTTATACTGACTCTACCATGATTATCCTCTCACTGGGAAAAGCAGGGGCCTTATCCATGGATCTCTTTTGGATAGTTAAAGAAATCAGAAGGATAGGACAACTTTTTCAACAATGCGTCTTCCTTAAAGTTAGTAGAGAACAAGTTAATCGTTCCCATCAGCTTGCAAATCAGTGCCGGTAGACTGTTTCAACGTTTGCTAAATCTATTCCTTTTGATACTTTTTAAGTTCCTTTTCTTTTTTTATTTGCTGTGTCTTCTGCTGTTGTCAAAAAAAAAAAGTTAATAGTAAATGAAGGATAACATATGAATAAGAATGAGTCACTATGATCTAAAAAGTAAAGTATGTAATGATCTTTTTGATATCTTTATTATTCCTAAATTTTTTTATTCGATCAACATCAAATTAAATTTATGACATGGCTGGGGGTAATGTGATAAGTTTGGCACACATTACTATTATGTATTATGTATTAAGCTTACTTTAGTTGATTTTGTGAGATTTGATATATAGAGCTTTTTAAATTGTGCAATAGCACGGGTACTATACTAGTTACAACCTAAAGACTAACTAATACAAGAACACACACTAAGTACCAATACAACCTAAAATACAACACTCACATACTAAAACCTTAGGGGTGTAAATTGGGTTTTTGGTTCAGTTTTGGGTTCGGTTTATCGGTTTTCGGATTGTAACGGGTTGGAATTATTAACAGGTCAGTTCGGGTCGTTTTTAAATAATTTCGGGTCGGTTCGGTTTGGTTTATTTTTATTACAGTTTCTTTTCGGGTCAGATTCTAATCGGGTCAGGTTATAATTGGTTCGGGTCATAATCGGTTCGGGTTAAATTCGGGGTTTGTCAGTTTATATAAAGAGGGTTTTGGGTCAACAAATATCGAGTCCTAATCGGTTTGGGTTGTAATCAGTTTGAGTTGAACTCAGTCGGGTTTGACAACTAGTTTTGCTAGTTTTAAACGGGTTTCGTTAACGTATATTGTCTAGTATATCCTCAATATTCTTTAATAGTTATTCCAATAGACCATACGGAGTATTAATTAGTTGTTTAACTTTATGTCCCTTTTTTGTATAATGATTTTAAGGATCAAATAATAATAACAAATCTAGAGTTAGCTTTTGATTTAGATTTTTAATTTTTTAAATACAATATAGTGTTCCATAAGCTATTACTCGTTAGAGGATGATAATATTGTAGCATAAGAGTTTCAATGACATCAAAATTCCAAACCTTTTCAATATAAATACTTTATAATTCAAATTAAACCCTTTTGTTTTACTATTGATAAAATACACCAAAAAAAAAAAATTTACGGTCATAACGGGTTACGTACTTACGGATTATAAACGGGTTAGTTATAACTGATTACGGATTGTAAACAGTTCGATCATAACTTATTACGAGTAACGGTTTAATCCTAACTTGTTACAGGTTGTAAACGATTTGGGTTTATCGGGTTTTTATCGGGTTTAAACGGTTTCGGTTTACAATGGGTCGGGTTGCTATTGGGTTCAAAAGTTCTCGGTTTCGGGTTTTATCAGTTCGGGTTGTTCTCGGATTTGGATTTTATCAGTTCGGCTTGATATCGAGTACGGTTCATTAACAGTTCTCAAACATTCAAATCGGTTCAGTTTCAGGTTTTAAAAAATCGAATCGGGTCGATTTACGGTTTTAAAATAACAGGTTCTTAACGGTTCGGTTCCTTTTCGAAACAGTTCAAAACGGTTCGGATTCACCATTTCGGGTTGGTTTTTGACAGCTCTATAAAACCTTATTACAAGCTTTGGCTAGAATCAAAAGATTGATGTCCAAATTAAACTTATATAGATTCAATTGAAGCACTTGGTACCTAAAGCACCCATTTAACCAAACGTATTAGAGAATTCGATGGTTTTAATAACATGATAAAAAAAAAGGTTCCATTTGTTCACATAAACAACCCCAATAAGGGCCATAACCATAACAAGACGATTCCATTTTTTCGATAATTCTAAAAAATATCAAAAAAAGAAGGATCTATTTGTTTACTTAGGATGACAAACTTACGAAAGCTACACAAATACTAAACAATATAAACGATATCTCAAAATCGTTTTAGCGACCGGAATCATTTCTATCAACAACGTTGGCTTCTACTGTCTTCAATGACTCCACTCGTGGCTCCCTAAACATTAAATCCAATAATAAGCTCAAGTTAATAATGTCAAAATATTAGTACATTTGCAACTACTAGTAAGTTTGTTTCATGGCACATTGATTCAAACTACCACCATTTACAAATTGCAACTATAATTTCATTAGTCTACGATAGAAATATGGTAGTGCAACGTCATATATGCAATCAAGAGGTTTGAAGTTTAAGACTCTAACTAGCTATTTCAGCCTTCACATTTCGATTTCATATCATTAGATTCGTGTGTTTGAAAAAACCTATTTCATACTTCCACTGTTTTTTAATAGTTGCAATACACACTTTTCACCGTATTTAAGAAATATGGGGTTCACATGATATAATACACGTTAAAATAAGGTGAGTGGTTGTAAGAAGTGTAATGTAGTGGGTCATGTGCTTTAAATAAGGGAAACAGTACATTTTTTCACTAAAATAATTTTCCATTTATAATGTGTTGCAAGTATTGTGACATTTCCCTTTTAGAAAAGTGGAAGTATAACCTATATATTGTCATTTGTCAATGTGTTGCACCAATTTAGAATATAAACATCACTTTTCTTTTAACCTCTAATATTCGGTGTTCACAAGAAAGCAAAGCAACAAACCTAGTTTGAGAATTGCCATGAATTGGATCATCAATAAGAGTATCAAACTCTTGAACATTAGCAACTTTTCGAAAGAAAGACTTCTTGATAAAATCCTCAGACTCACGGGTAACACGTTCGGGGTCATCCACCTCCGACACCATCTCCCTCCGGCTTTTCTTGACTCGAACATCAGGGGCATGCATGAACTGTTGCTTGGCTGTATGGAGTCCTAATGTTACGGCCAACCCTATCATCCCCAATGCAACATAAATTGGGACATAGTTGCCCCCCTTCGCTTTCCCCTTATTAGGCTCTCCTTCTGTTGTGGCCGCATATGACTTCATCTTCGGCACAGTTCCTGCCATTGTTCTTATGCCGTGCCCTCTATCTAACGGAGGCACAATTCTCTTCAAATTCTTAGCCTACAAAAATATAATATAAACTTCAATAGTAGCGTAACAAGATTTATAATATATTTTTTACAAATTAGGTTTGCTTAGGGTCTGTTCTCATTGACTAAAATGAGCTGAGCTGAACTTAAAAGAGCTGAGCTGAATATTTTATGAGAGAAGAAAATTAAGAACTGAACTTAACTTAACTTATTAGAGTGAGCTAAATTGAAAATAATCTGATGAGAACAAGAAATTGTATAATACGGAGTAATAAACATTGTAAAGACACTTCTTTATATAGTTTGTGCTACATCTTACACAATCGTGTGATTTTATTCAATTGCTTTGGGAATTTGAGGTAGGTCAGTAGGGTAAGGAAACTTTCTCCCTACAGTGCCTGTAATTGAGGACGAACCCTCCCCTTTCATTAAGCCAAGCTTAGCTTAATGCATTGTACGACCTTGTATACAAGAATTATTGGTATTTATGTCGTTGATATTAGGCTTAATTTTAAATAAGGGTAATAATGATACATACAAACCCTATCTGATAGGGAACATAACGTACATTCCTTTGTGTAGAATAAAATCAAGCGTTACTAATGTTCGAATTAGCTTGATATTTCAATTATACTCGTTTTGTATCATTTCCGTTTAATTTTTATGGTTAAAAATTAGAATACCTTCACTGAAACTTCAATTATTAACTCTCTGTATAACACGGAGTACTCACTCCCCCTGCTTAAAGATCATCCATTCACATTTATATTTCATACAATCTCCAATTCCTATAATTAATTATTAGGAGTAATATCTTTAGTTATGCTTTAATAGACTATAAAAATTAATAATCATAAAATTACTCCCCTGCTTAGAAACGAGTTCAGAAATAATGTCCACCAAATAAATGTTTATATCTTACCGCCTGTTCCGATTTACTGAAATCAACTAAACAGATTGAGCTGAACTAAAATGAGCTGAAATAAATTGTTTATAAGACAAGAAAATTAATAACTTAGAGCTGAGCTGAAGTGAAATTAAGGTGAACAAAACAAACCCTTATGCATAAATCACCGTTTACAATCAAAGTTTAACTGCAAGATTAATGATTAAAAAAAAAAAAAAAAAAAAAACTCGCTCAAATATAGCACCTCACACTCACTTGTATAAACAATGTCACACAAATAATATATGCATATTATAGACTTATGATATATATAAACCAAGTTCTTGATCTTGTAAATTATGCATACTTTTCATACAATAATAGCTTATATAGCCCTTTAAACATAACTACAACGTTATTAAAAACGAAAGGAAAATTTGTAAATTACAGCCCTTTAAAGTTCGTATTTTGCAAATTACGGTCATTTAAATTTTTATTTTTTTTGCAAATTACAGTCCAAAAGTTCGTATAAATTGTAAATTGCAGCCCGATTTAATTTTTTCATCGGTTTACATGTTAAAAAATCTTCGGTTAAGGTTTTAGGGGTCATTTTAGTCCTTAGGGGCCCGAATTGATCTCGGAATTAGAAAAAAGTAACGTAAGTGTCTCATATTTACAGTTTCCTACAAATCAATACACTTTTGTTACGCAAAACGAGATACTTGCGTTATTTTTTTGCTAATTCCGAGCTCAATTCGGACCCCGAAGAACTAAAACGGTCCCTAAAACCTTAATCGAAGATTTTTCAACTTGTAAATCGATGAAAAAGTTCAATCGGGCTGCAATTTACAATTTATATGAACTTTTAGGCTGCAATTTGCAATTTTTTTTAAATGGCTGCAATTTGTAAAATACGAATTTTAAATGGCTGCAATTTGCAAATTTTCCAAAACGAAAATCAAAATCAAAGATAGAGTAATTAATAGAAGAACTTACCACTGCCTCTTTGATTAAACCCGCCATAGTTAAAATGCTTGTGTATTTGGATTAGACAATGAGTGTGAAATATATTGGTTTGTTCTACTTCTGCCTAATTTAGCACATCTAGTAGAAGTATAAGTTAAGGTCATTATCCATGTTTTTAAAAATTGTTGCACGAATTTTGATAAAGAAATTAAGAAAGCTTATGAATGACATCCACGAGGCAATTACAAGGACACGTGGTTTGGATTTAGGTTGCACACCTTTCTTCATTAAATTGACAAGTGCTAGTGAAGTCGTGACTCGTGACATTTTCCAATGTTATGCGAGGATTATTTTTATTATTATTTTTTTTTTTAAAGAAGATAATAATCGGTTGTTTTTATCTATGTGTCAAAATTTTTAAATCTTATTCATTAGTTTTGCTTAGGTGGCGAGCAAATTTTTTAATTCTAAAATAAATTATTAATCTAATTTTTCATTAGACAAAATAATACCTTTTCTTATGTGGCGCGTCATGTGCTCTCGAAAAATGTCTACTTTATTTATATATATATATATATATATATATATATATATATATATATATATATATATATATATATTAAATTTTGAATTATTTATAAATAATTTTAAATTTAGGTATCATTCACTCAAAATAGTTAAAAAAAACACTTTAAAAAAATAACTTTAATTATAACACAGTAACATTTATTAAAATTTGTGTAATTTTTAATATTATTGCAAATTTGAAATATAACCTTATGTTAAACATAATGACCTTATTATTTATATTGGCCAGCATTTTAAAATTATCATTAAAAAAAATTAATTTTTTATGACCTTTATAAAAACACTATTACTTTTATTTTAATAAAATAACTTTTTTTTTTTTACATAGTGACCCTTTTTTAATTAAAAAAACGATCATAGTATCTTTACTATTAGTGGTTCACAATAAATTAATACTGTACTTTTCAGTTTTTACGCTTTTAGTAATCCTAAGCAAAGAAATTGATTAAATAAGATATTAATTAGTTCAATTTGATAAGTTGGTAGTTAAAGCGACGGAGAGCTCAAATCAAATGGATAGATAGAACTTCCCTCTTGAGTCCTGATTCCATTAAATTTATAACAATTCAATCATTCTAGTTTGGGTAAGTCTTGTATGTGGGTAGCCTGGCTACATTAGTTTATAAGAGTAATATTCATTTATATGTATAAGTAACCTTAACTTTTCATAAGAGTCTCCTCATGTTGTCCATAAAAGTAACCCAAATTTATTGTATGAGTGAATTCAAGTAATTTAGAAATAAGTAACTCCATTTGCTCATTCGAGTAACCCCTATTCCTTTGTTTTAAAAAATCCACTTATATAAGAGAGTAGCTCTTATTTCTCATTTAATTAACCTACATACGCATTAAGGTAACCCCATTTGCTCATCACCGTAACCCCCTATTACTTAATTAAATACTTTTATGTGATTATTTGAAGTGGTCACACCATGTGGCTAGCCACATATAAGAATTTGTGTTCTAGTTTTGGGTTGAGTTCATTGCCCATTGGTTTAATGGATATGATAAATCAATCAAAATTTGATCATTTTCGAGTTAGATGTCTTTAGTCACGCATATTTCAATTTATATCATATTAAGTCATATACTTTCGAGTATGTATAAATTTAAACCAACTAGATTATTCAAATCAATTATTGAATATGATTCCGATTGGATCAAATTTAATAAGTCTAACCCTCCAAGGCAATCCCTCAAAGCTCTCAATTATTAGCATTGGAGTTCATGCATAGCAAGCATGCATATAATAATTTGCCTTTCATATACTACAAGCATTGGTGATGAGCTTAATGATCCATCTTTCCACATCTAATTTCCTCATTATTCTGCACTAACAAAGATGAGTCTCTTAAAGCATGGATTCTCCCCAACTTTAGCGGGGAGCAAGGAGATGTGTTGGACGGTCCAAAACCACTGAAAATTTTTAGTATAGAAATAATTAAATAAAAAACAAAAGAATGGCATAAAATGTCTATTTAATTCACAATTATATTCCTCCCAACTTAGATGATTTGTTGTCTTAACACGTGGATCCAATAGCTAAAATTCTCTTTTAACACTTTGGGTATAATTAACACACTTTTAATTGTGCTAAGTTGGATCCCACATGCTATTCTTGTAAGCTAATTAAGTTAATATTAATCAATTTTTAGTGGAATGAATTAGAATGAATTTTTAACTAAATTAAATCCAATAAAAATTTATTATGAGAAAATTAGTGGAATAAAGTCTAACTAGGGACCATTTTTCCATTCCCTTATACCTCTTAAATTCCATTAGTAGTAAAACTAGTTCATTCTATAAATATTTAGTATCACCTTAAGTAATGAAGAAAAATACTAGTATTGATCTCTCAACTATGTCCATAATTTTCGCCATTTAGGTCCTTCGGAGTTTGAATAGCTTGATCATGTCGACGGAAGGAGGGGAAGACGAAGAAGACGGAAAAGTTTCATGATTTTGAAGATGGGATTGATACAAACAAGTTGATGTAAACTTGACCAAAACCGTCAAGGTTATAAGGCAAGTCAACTAGGCAAAGGGAAGGCAACGCCTTTCTTCCAGTTTTTTTTCTAACTGTTTCTGTTTTCGCTTCTTTGTAGTTGGAGCTTGCTCCCTATTTATCTGCATGCTGTATGATTCTCTAGCTCCCTATGTATCTGTATGCTGTATGATTCTCCTCCTCGTCTTCTTCGGATATGTATGTGATCTAAAAGTTGTGTGTTCTTCCTTAGTTCCTTCTTAAGTAATATTGTATGCAAATATAGCAAGTTTCTGCTCTGTGTAAAAATTGCAATTCTGATTCGATATCATTGTAATTGATCACTCTCTGGTCTATGTTTTTTACAATGCCTTTAGGATGCAGCGAAACATTTACAGATAGCATAATTATTTATATTTTTGATTTCTGTATTTCCACAATATAGAGGGTAATCAGAGAAACCCAGCCGGATTTTGAACCGCCTGCGTCTTCGCAAGCATCCCAAAGAATTTCCAGATTTTCTTCTAGGTACCGTCTCTATTCTTTCTAGCTTTTTCATGTATTTCCGTTTGAGTCTTTTACTCGCATTTTTGTTCATTGGTCCCATGAGTAGATGGACCCCTTATACCCATACCCGGAACCTAGCTGTGAACTCAGCCGGTTTATTAGTACGGCTGAGTCTAGAACTGGGTCTGCCGCCTCTGTTCTTTGGGACAACCCTTTTTCAACACCCATACCGACCGACTCTGTGTCTGTGCAGGACACAATGGCCAGAATCCGGTCTACTACCAAAGATCCCAACTACAGAAGTGGGAGCTCAGATGAGCAGCCGCCTGAGGTCCCGGCTTCAGGCGGTGAAGTAGAGCAAGGAGAGGTAGAGCAGAGAGGCTCACCCGGGGGCGCTCCTAGCACCCCGGGTGATAGCATTTTAAATGAGGAGACTGCTCCCCTCCAGGAGACCAGAGAGCAGGCAGGCTCTGAGAAGGAGGTCTCCAACTCCCCAGCCGGCTCTGATGCCGGTCGCGTTCAAAGTAGTAGTAGTAGCTACTTAACCGAATCTGAGGATAGCGAGGAGGCGGAGAGGCCTTCTTGGGATAATAGGAACGATCCTCTCATGATCGCCGTCTCCTCTAAGGACCGCGAGCTCATGCGGGCTGCGCTGCCAGATTTTACCAAACGGCGGCCGCTGGGGGGTGACTATACAATAAAAATCCCGGCTGCTCTGGGAACAATATGGTGGGAGGATGGACAACCGAACGCGAACGCTTGGTTCGGGTGCTACGAGGCGGCCTTCTTGGCCGGAGTCCGCTTCCCTCTCCACGACACAATAAAAGCCATACTTAGGGGGTATGGCCTAGGTCTCTGGCAATTAACCCCCAACTCATGGGTAAATATTTTAGGGTATATCGCCGCCTGCGAGATGCAGGGCCTCAACCCCGGCTGGGAGGCGTTTGCCCACATGCATTACTTGAGTAGGAGCCCAGGCGGATGGAGAGCCTGGTATACCTTGACCACCCAGCCCAAATACCTTATGACCTTGGACAAGTCATCCAAATGGTCGGACTGGAAGCACCGGTTCTACTTGGTTAAGGCCCCAACTACGGCAGAGAACAGAGAATTCCGGATCTACAACCGGAAACCAGAACTCTTGGGAACCAAGTGCTGCCTGCCCCCTGTCCCGGAGGATGATAGAGAGACCATCCTTGACTCCGGGTTTTTTGAGTTAGTTCCTGACACCCTCTCATCCGGAGAGATAATAAGGGTACCTAGAAACTGGGTGCCCAAACATGAATTTTTTAGGGACGAATGCTTCTTGTCCGCTTGTGGTCTAAGCAGCATGTTTAAAAAACGTATGTATTCGAAACTCAACCGGTTTCTTTCGAACCGGATGCTTTTATTTCCTTGCTTGTTTATTATTCTAACCGTGTGCCTGCCTTTGCAGAAGAAGCCAAGAAAATGCTGCCCACCGAGAAGACACCGGCTAGGTCGGCTGCCGACATCCGGAAAGCCAATCTCGAGAAAAAACTTGCTGCCCAGGCGGCGAGGAAGGTATATCCGTCTGATCCTTCTCGTTGACTTCAATCCTTTTATCCCATAACTTATATTTTTCTCGTTTACAGGACGGGAAGCAGATGCCCCGGTCCCTTCAAAAACAGGTCAGGCCTCCGCCGACCCAACAAGAGTTTGCATCCAAGGTGCGGAAGACAGCCGACCGGCAAACTACCGGCGGCAAATCAATAAAGGTCCTAGGCGGGCCTGGATCTGCGGATGTGCTTTCTGCCATCCCATTGAGGACCGCAACCGGTCCCTATGAAGGCCGTTCGGACCCAACATTTTCATTTTGAATATTAACATTTTCACCGGCTGAGCCGGCTTTTTGAATGCACTCTGTTTTTCACACTTGGCTTTTGAATGCTTTTTATGTTTCTGCACTTCAATACTAGAATTCTTGTTATTTTTTTATACATATTTCTGCGAGGATAACCAAAAGAACCCCGCCGGTAATACTGCCGCTTGGGTCTTCTCAAACAGCAAAGAAATTTGCTAGGGTTGCCCAGAAGACCCCACCGGTAACACTGCCGTCTGGGTCTTCGCAAACTAGGCGAAGAAATTTGCTAGGGTTGCCCAGAAGACCCCACCGGTAACACTGCCGTCTGGGTCTTCGCAAACTAGGCGAAGAAATTTGCAAGGGTTGCCCAGAAGACCCCACCGGTAACACTGCCGTCTGGGTCTTCGCAAACTAGGCGAAGAAATTTGCAAGGGTTGCCAAGAGGACCCCACCGGTAACACTGCCGTCTGGGTCTTCACAAACTAGGCGAAGAAATTTGCTAGGGTTGCCCAGAAGACCCCACCGGTAACACTGCCGTCTGGGTCTTCGCAAACTAGGCGAAGAAATTTCGACCCAAAACCAAACCGGATGGCGTCTGGGTAATTGCCCCTGGATAGCGGTCTGGGTCTTTGCAAGCCAGGCGGCTATCCATATGATATAGCACGAATATATACACTAAGTGCCAACATTAGATTCGGGAGCCAGTCGGTTTATACTGATTTACCGGTCGGGACTTCGCAAAAGAATCACGCCAGATTAGGATGTCCATTCACCGGTTGGGCTTTTGCAAGCATACCCCTGAATGAATTATGGCCTAGACCAAATGTTTTTAGGCCTGCTCTTAGAGAGTCAGGCGGCGGTATTGAGTACCGGCTGAATTTTGGAATCAGCCTTTAGTGGTACTTCCAAAAAGTGAGCCGGCTGCAAGTTTGGGGTTGCTAGCCTGCCCTTTTTTGGTGCGAGGGATCGTCAGGCGGGTTTGTCCGCCTGTGTGATCGCTTAGAACAATTTACCACCCAAATGGGAGATGTTCTCTTCGATGAATTCACCCGTATGGGTGTCAGCGGATGAAAAAATTAGTTACTGGTGCCGCTTGTGGTAGGCACAAGACATGGCGACTGTATACAAAATTGAATGTAATTCTCAATCATTTGAAAATTTACAAAAGATGTACAATACTTAGAAGTAGTATTTTTTGAGGTTATCTACATTCCAAGTTCTAGGCAGCTTTCTTCCGTCTGGAGTTTCCAGGCGGTAAGTGCCGTCTCGTACTTCTTCAAAGATCCGGTAGGGTCCCTCTCAATTCGGGATTAATTTGCCTTGTTCATTGGCCCTACCGGTTGCCTCCATTTTGCGAAGCACAAAATCTCCTTCTTTCAAAGGTCTTTTACGAACCCGCTTTTTGTAGGCTCTAGTCATACGCAGACGGTAGATCTCATGACGCAGGGCAGCATTCCCCCTTCGCTCTGGGAGAGCATCTAATGCCAACCGCATGGCTTCCCAGTTAGCCTCCTCATCATATAACATAATGCGTAGAGTAGGCTCATAATGTTCAATGGGAAGAACTGCTTCAGTGCCGTATGTCATGAGAAATGGGGTCTCACCGGTTGCCCCCTTTTTGGTTGTCCGGATAGCCCAAAGGACATGAGGTAATTCCTCTGCCCATAGTCCACCGGCTCTTTCTACTTTCTTCTTTATCCCGTCTGAGATCAACTTGTTAAAAGCCTCAACTTGACCGTTTGCCTGAGGACGGCCAACGGATGCAAAACAATGGGAAATTCCTTGGTCTCCCAACCAGGTCCTGAGAACAGGCGTTTCGAACTGCGGTCCGTTGTCAAAAACCATGGACATTGGAACCCCGAACCGGGTGATGACGTTTCTCCAGATGAAAGAAATCACGTCTTTCGTTTTAATCCCTTTTACCGCCTCTGCCTCAACCCATTTGGTGAAGTAGTCTACTGCTACAAGAATGTAGCGGCGGCCGCCTGTCGCAGGCGTATAAGGTCCCAAAATGTCCATGCCCCATTTAGCAAACGGAACCGGACTATGGATTGCCGTGAGATCTGTTGCCGGTTGATGTATCAACTTAGCGAATTTTTGGCACTTGTCGCATCTCTTTACTAGATCCATGGCATCCGCTTCAAGAGTGGGCCAGAAGTACCCTTGCCGCCTGGTTCTTCTGGCAAGGGACCTGCCGCCAATATGCGAAGCACAAAACCCCGCATGCAGGTCCTCCAAAACTTCTCTCCCCCTAGCCGGGGTTACACATTTCAAAAAACGGCTGCAGGTAACCCTTCCGGAGGAGTTCCCCTTGATGCATAACAAAACTTGAAGCACGCTTCTTGAGCGCTGATGCTTCTGAAGGATCATCCGGTAAAGAACCATCCGTCAAGAAAGACCGGATGGGATCCATCCAAGTAGCACTTCTGTCCAGGACTCCAATGGGATCATTCTGAATACTTCGTTTTTCAATGACTTCCCAAAAGACCGTCCTAGGAGCATCACAGGAGGCTGATGATGCCAACTTTGAGAGGGCATCCGCCTGATTGTTTTCAGACCGGGGCACCTGTCGCAGATGAAATTCATCGAAGGACCCAGCCTCTTCCTTAACCGCCTGCAAATATTTGATCATAGCCGGATGGGTGGCTTCGTAGTCACCAAGGTATTGGCTAACGATCAGCTGTGAATCTGAGCAGGCGTCAACCTTTCTTGCACCGGCTGCCTTACACATGCGCAATCCGGCTAGTAGAGCTTCATACTCTGCCTCATTGTTGGAGGCTTGGAACTTAAACCGTAGTGCATATTCAAACTTATCCCCTTCCGGGGAATGACAGATAACACCTGCACCACAGCCGTTCACCGTAGAGCTGCCGTCTACAAATAGCTTCCAGACCTGATCAAGATTTTCCGGTTGCACCGGCCTAGTCATCTCGACAATGAAGTCGGCAAACGCCTGACCTTTCACTGCCCGCCTGGGTTCAAAAGTTATCTCAAGGCTTTGTATTTCAACAGCCCACTTGATCATTCTACCGGATGACTCTATAGCAGTCATCGTGCGCTTTAGCGGCTGATCTGTGTATACCACAACCGGATGTGCCAAAAAATAAGGCTTCAACCGCTTGACTGCTACGAATAAGGCCAACCCAAATTTTTCGATCATGGGGTACCGGAGCTCAGCATTTTTAAGGACATGGCTGATGAAATACACCGGCAGCTGAATACCGTCTCTCTCAGCGAGGAGAACGGCACTAAGGGCGTGATCAGAGACGGCTAGGTACATGTACAGAACCTCCCGGGGTAGGGGGCTCACTAGCCTTGGCAAAGAATGCAAGTGCTGCTTAAGCCTTTGGAATGCCGCCTCTGCTTCTTCACCCCATTCAAACCTTGACCTCTTCCTGATTGCCTGGAAGAAATAGAGGCACTTGTCACCTGACCGGAGGAACCTCCCCAATGCCGCCAGGCAACCGGTCAACTTCTGGACCTCTTTTACAGTGCGGGGAGACTGCATGTCAATTACCGCCTGTATTTTTTCCGGATTAGCTTCAATGCCTCTTTGGTCAATTAAAAACCCGAGAAACTTCCCAGACTCAACACCAAATACGCATTTCTTTGGGTTAAGCATGACCCAGTGCCGCCTGAGTGTGGTGAAAGTTTCTCGCAGGTCTGCTAGGTGATCCGTCTGTAGCTTGGATTTGACTATCATGTCATCGATATACGCCTCTACATTCCTGCCAATCTGGTTGACGAAAACAGTGTTTATCATGCGCTGGAATGTAGCCGGTGCATTCTTCAACCCAAACGGCATCACCGTATAGCAGAATAACCCCTGATCAGTGACGAAAGCCGTCTTCTCCTGATCTTTCTTCCAGAGGGGTATTTGATGGAAGCCGGAATAGGCATCCATAAAGCTCATTAGCGCATGGCCGGCTGTTGAGTCGACTAGGCTGTCAATCTTTGGAAGCGGGTAGCTATCTTTTGGGCATGCTTTGTTCAGATCTGTGTAATCCACACACATCCGCCAAGTACCGTTCGGCTTCTTTACTAGAACGACATTTGCCACCCAATCCGGGTAGTAGCATTGCCTAATGAACCCAGCATCCAACAACCTTTTGACCTCAGCCGCTGCCGCTTGAGATCTTTCTCCACCATGATCCCTCTTTTTCTGCCTAACCGGCTGCTTTTTGGGATCTACGGCTAGCTTGTGGACAGCAAGATCCGGGCTGACGCCTGGCATCTCTTCCACTTCAAAGGCAAAGATGTCTTTGAATTCCTTCAGCAGCAGCTGGAGCAAGCCTTCTCCCAACCGTTCGAAGGCTACCGTCCCAACCTTGACTGTTCTTTCGGGACGGCTGTCATCTAGGATGACATCAAGGCAGTCACCAGCCGGCTGAGGTCGTTGGTCATCTGACCTTTCCCCGGCTAGTGATTGCTATTTCTCCTTTTTGACGGGTGCCAGTTGGTCCGCCTTTCTTTTCTTACCGGCTGCCCTTGGAGCCGGGACTGCGGGGTCGCAGTTATCAATATCAGAGAGATAGCACTCTCTTGCCGTCTTCTGGTCCCCGCTTAGGGCACCGACTGTACCATCATCCTTCTGAAACTTGACCAACATGAGGGACGGGATGATGACAGCCTTAGATGCGTTGAGGGTAGGACGGCCAAATATCATGTTGTAGGCGGACAGCTCCTCCACAACTAAAAACTTGACTATCATGTGGCGTCCTTGCCCCTTTTCACCCAGCCGGATCGGAAGATCTATGCTTCCGACCGGATGCACTACTCCACCCCCAAAACCGACTAGTGGGTGAGGAGCCTGGTGCATGTTACCGGATGTGTACTTGAGCTTGGTCAAGCACT